ACCTTCAAGATTTCGACTTCCGTGTCGACCTATTTTGACACGGCTTCCATGAGTCAGTTGGCTGGCTTGTTCCTATTCCCGACGGACGAGACCCATTTGAACCAGATGGGTGTGGTCGTAGCAGCTGACTGGGGGGTATCCCATGCTTTCCAAGTAGGGCAAAAGTTTTTGTTTTACTGTGTTTATCGTGGTTGTATATTGATCAAATTATTTTGTTGTGTAGGCATTCACGAGCAGTCTGCACCTGAGGAAGTCCATTGTGGTGCAGGAGAAGAGGATACAAGATGTGTCCAAGGCAAATACTAGTTTGTGCCAGAGAAAGGCGGCAACCCAGAAGGCCAAGCAGGAGAGCCAGAGGTGCCTGAAGGAAACCAAGGGTGAGTTGGAGAGACTAAGGAGAGAGTTGGCCGAGAAGACTGCAGAGGTTGATTCTCTCAAGGAACAGTGCCTGAGCATTGCTGATGATACCATTATTAGGGCCTAGGGAGAGCTCATGCTTGAGTACAAGGCCGGGAACATCTCTCACTAGGACCCGGATGAGGACATTCAGCTCATGTGGGAGATGATGGAGGAAAAGGCTGGGCATACGGATCGAGGAGCAGATTGATGAGCAAGTGCTCGATTTTGCTAGCCAGCTGGGGCCATCGATTACAGAGGATGTAAGTGACTAGGCTTTAGGGACGGGTGCTGGTGATAGGGTGACCGAGTCGAAGATAAGTGAGACGACTTGCACCGATGATACTTAGATTTATTTTTGCTTTTGCTCATGTATTTTGGGGCCTGCAATGCCCTTTCCTGGCGTATGTGCCTTTCATTGTACTTTGAACTTTGCCGCTTGAGGCTTCTTCAATATTATACTTGTGATTCTGTTTTTGAAGCTGTCCTTATAGGTGAATAAGTTGTTGATTGCTTCTTTGTTCGTAGATGCACTAGGGGTTGAGCCGCATGCTTGTGCTATGATTTTGGTGCGACCTAGTGGCTGAGTCGTGTGGACTTTCTATTGGGTTGGGTCAATGACTTGTCGATTTTGAGGTGTAGGAACCCTTCAATCAGTTTGGGTCGACTGAATGGGACAGGGTCAATTCGAAGGTGTAAATCTGTGAATTGGGCAGGGCCGATCCGAAGGTGTAAATCCGTGAATCGGGTAGGGCCGATCTGAAGGTGTAAATCCGTGAATCGGGCAAGGCCGATTCAAAGGTGTAAACTCCTGAATCGGGCAGGGCTGATTCGAAGGTATAAAACTCATGGATCTAGCAGGGCCGACCGAAGATGTAAATTGTTGAATAATACTTCATTGAATTGGGGCCATGAGGCCGACTGTTTGTGAATGGGATGGATAGACCCACTCATCCCTTTTAAATAAAAACAAACATGTAGACGAATGAGTTCACCTAAAAGTAGAAGCATTTGAGGTGGACTGCATTCTAGCTATTGCTGATGTCTTTGCCTTCGGGAGTTTGGAGTCGGTAGGCACCCTTCCCCGCTTCTTTGGTGATCTTGTAGGGACCCTCTCAGGTGGGGTCGAGTTTGCCAAAGTTGATCTCCCTAGTGTTTTGAAAGACCTTGTGGAGGACCTAGTCGCCTGTTTTGAAAGTTCTAATCCTTACGTTGTGATTGTAGTGTCGGGCGGCCTACTGCTAGTAGACTGCGTTGCGGATGCTCGTCCGCTCGCGAAGCTCATCGACGGTGTTCAGGTTCAGGTTCTGGTTGTTGGTTTCCTCGTCCACCCATTGGAGTCTAGTGGAAGGAACCGATACTTCGATCGGGATGACTGCTTCAGATCCGTATGTGAGGGAGAAAAGAGTCTCGCCCGTGGATGAGCGAGCTGCAGTTCGGTAGAACCAAGGACTCTGGGTAACTCATCTGCCCATGCACCATTCGCTTTCTGCAGTCGCTTTTTTAAGGTCTGCATGATGGTTTTATTCGATGACTCGGCCTGGCCGTTGGATTAGGGGTTGCGAGGGGTAGAGAAGCTTAGTTTGATCCCCCACATGTCGTAGAAATCCCTGAAGCCTGAACTGATAAATTGGGATCCATTGTCGGTGGCGATTTCTTTTGGTATCCAAAACCTGCAGATGACATGTTTCCAGATAAAAGCTTTTACCTCTCGGTCTCTAACTTGTGCGAAAGCTTCGGCTTCGATCCACTTAGTGAAGTAATCAGTCATAGCCAACAACAAGACTCGTTGCCCAGGTGTGGTTGGTAGCTTTCCAACTACATCCATTCCCTACTTCATGAACAGCCAAGGTGTGAGAATGGAGTGGAGTCGCTCGGGTGAGAGGTGTGAGACATGAACGAACCTCTGACAACTATCACACTTCTTGACATAAGTCACCAAATCAGTGCGTATGATTGGCCAATAGTATCCAGCAGTGATCACCCAGTGTGCGAGGTTGCGTCCTCCTGCATGGTTTCCACACTCGCCTTCATGGAGTTCGGCTAGAACAGATTTGGCCTCTTCTGGGCCTGTGCACTTGAGGTAGGGACCGGAGAATGATTTCCTAAGAAGTTGGCCCTCATATATGGTGAACCTATTGGCTCTTGCTCTTAGGCGGCGTGCTTTGTTTTTATCAATCGGGAGCTCGTTGTGTTCTAAGTACTTCACTATCAGGGTCATCCAGCAGTCAGCTAGTTCGATGTCCATTGCTTCTTCGGGCGACTTGTCTGTTGGTTGTTCCTTCCAGTTGGCTGGACATTGTAGGAATAATAGAAGGATAGATGACTGGGAAGAACATTGATGGGCTAAGCCGAGGTTAGCAAGGGCGTCAGCATGAGAGTTCTCCACTCTTGGGACTTGGGCGATGGAGAATTCTTTGAATTGGGTCTACAATTCTTTGACTAGGTTCAAGTAGGCCATCATCTTCGAGTCGCGTGCTTGGTAGGTGCCTTGCAGCTGGTTGACCACGAGCTGGGAGTCGGACTTCACCTCTAGCCTCCTTACTCTGATTTCTTTAGCTAGGGATAGTCTAATGATGAGAGCCTCATATTTGGCTTCGTTGTTCGTGCACTTGAAACCACATCATATGGCCCGCTGGATGACATCTCCCTCTAGTGTAATTAGAACTAGTCCGAGCCCGATTCCATTCACATTGCTTGAGCCATCCACTGAGAGAGCCCACTTAGAAGGCGACCCACTGTTCATACATAATAACTCTCTTTCTGCTTGGACGGTTGTGGTCGGGGTGAAATCAGCGATGAAGTCTGTCAATGCTTGGGACTTGACAGCAGTACGTGACTAGAAAGCTATGTCGAACTCACTAAGCTCTACCGTCCATTACGTGAGTCAGCCTGATAGCTCTGGCTTGTGTAATATCTTCTTGAGTGGAAAAGAGGTGAGTACGACTATGAAGTGACATTGAAAGTATGGCCTGAGCTTCCTAGATGCGTAGATGAGGACGAGGGCCAATTTCTCTAGCTGACTATATCGTGTTTCCACGTCGAGAAGTGACTTGCTTACATAGTAAACCGGTAGCTGCTTCGTGCCATCTTCCCAAACTAACACTGTTAAGATTACTGTCTCTGAGACCGCCAAATAGGTGTAAAGCTTCTCCCCATCCACAGGCTTGGAAAGGAGCGGAGGGGAGGTCAGGTATCTCTTTAATTGTTGCAAGGCTTCCTCGTAGGAATGGGTCCACTTGAACTTCTTAGATTTCTTGAGTGTGTGAAAGAAGAGGTGGCACTTGTCAACGGATCTAGAGATGAAGCAGCTCAAGGCGGCTACTCGTCCTGCGAGGCGCTGGACATCTTTGATGCAAGTTAGAAATGGTATATTGAGGATCACTCTGATCTGGTCGGGGTTGGCTTCTATCCCTCGCTGAGTTACCAAGTATCCCAAGAATTTACCTAACGAGACACCGAACGAGCATTTGGCTAGATTCAGCTTGATTCAGCTTCATGTTATACTTTCTTAGGATGGTGAACGCCTGGCTGAGGTGGTTAAGGTACTGCTCGACCATCAAGGACTTGACAAGCATGTCGTTACTGTAAACCTCCATGGTGTCCCCGAGGTGTTCGGCAAACATTCTGTTGACTAACCGCTGATAGGTAGCCCCGACGTTCTTAAGACCGAATGGCATCACCTTGTAGCAGTAGGTTTCCCTCTCTGTGATGAAGGTTGTCTTCTCCTGGTCGTCGGGGTGCATCAAGATTTGGTTGTACCCTGAGAAAATATCCATGAAGCTTAGGAGCTCGTGGCCTACGGTCGCATCGACCATCATGTCGATATGTGGGAGCGGGAAGGAGTCCTTAGGGCATGCTTTTTTTAAGTCCGTGAAATCAATGCAGAACCTCCACTTTCCGTTCTTTTTCTTTACAACCACGACGTTTGCCAGCCATTCAGGGTAGTGGACCTCTCTAATCATACCATTACTCAGTAACTTTTCAATCTCTTCATTGACGATCCGGTTGCACTCTGGTGTGAATTTCCTTCTCCTCTGCTTCACTGGCGGGTGATCTGGATCTACTTTGAGGTGGTAAACCATTGCCTCTAGGCTGATTCCTGTCATGTCAGCGTGGGACCAGGTGAAACAGTCCTGGTTCTGTCTAAGGAATTCTATTAGTTTCTCTCTTGTCTCGGGCCTGAGGCGAGAACCTATATGGGTCTTTCTTTTGGGGTCTTCCGGGTGTATCTGTACTTCATCCAACTCTTCTATAGATGATTGATCTAGCTCGGTCAGAGGGGTTGGATGAGACTATAATTGCTATAAAGCATTACCTCTGCTTTTGAAGGCGTTCTTGTAACAGTCTCTGGAAGCCTTAGGGTCGCCCTTGATTTCCCGTACTCCCCACTTGGTAGGAAACCTGATCGTTTGGTGGAAGGTGGATGGAACAGCTAACATGTCGTGGATCCAAGGTCGGCCCAAGATGACGTTGTATGGTGAAGGACAATCGATCACTAGAAAAACGGTCTGCTTGTTTACTATGCTGGCATAAATAGGAAGGACGATCTCTCTGACGGTGTATTTCTGCTCGGAACTGAACCCGACCAGTAGGGTCGGCCGTCAGTTGATGTTTGTTTCTTCCAAAACCATAGCCTTCACTGCTTCAAGGAAATGAATGTTTGCGGAGGGTCCCCCGTCTATGAATACCCTCTTGACCAGGATGATGACGATCTGGAAGGAGACGACTAGAGCATCGTGATGGGGGGTAGCCAGGGTGACCAACTCGTCGTCTTCGAACTGAATTACGTGGTGAGAATGTAACCGAGAAGACAGATGGATGGATTGGATTTCATGATGGTTGTTGGCTCTGGCGTAGCGTTTGGCTGAGGAGTAACTGACCCCACTGATCTCTGACCCTCCGGAGATGATTGAGTAGAATCCTTTCGATGTAGGTTCCCATGGGGGTGGAGATGTTTCTTTCGTGCTTTTCTGGCTGATGGTGTTTTTCCCTTTATCTGTCAACAGATCTCGGAGATGTCCCATTTTCAATAGTGCAGCGACCTCCAACTGCAGGGCAATGTAGTCTGCGGTGTTATGTCCACGGTCGTCATGGAACTTGCACCACTTGGTCGTGTCTCTCCTTGCTTCGGCATTGAGCTTGCTTGGCCACTTAACGCTAGATCCCATTTCTTTCATGATCGCCACGACTTGGGTTGGTTCGACGTTGAGGTTGTACTCTAGGATTTTGTATCGGCTTGGTTCGGTTGGTTTGTTGTCGGTTCTAAGTGGTCGACGATCATATGATTTTCTGACTTTGTTCAGGTTACGTGGAGGGGGTTGGTAACGAGGTTCAATCGATCTAAGCTTTGGCCTTCTATCATTCCGCCTTGGGTCATACCTGGGGTGTATTGCCCGATTCATCTCATCTTTTTCCCACCTTATTTGAATCACTGCTCTGGCCAAGGCGTCCTCCATCATGGTGCAACCAAGCTTCGTCAGTTCTTTGTATAATTCACCATCCGAGAGGAGACCCTTCCTGAAGGCGTCTACGGCTGTCTCGGGGTTACAGGAAGGGATGGAAATTTTTTATTTGTTGAATCTGCTGACGTACTCTCTCAGCGGCTCCTCCCTTCTCTGGTATACTTTGTACAGGTCGGCCGATAGTTTCTCAAGTTTTTTGTTGTTGGCGAATTGCTCCACGAAGGTGTCGGTGAGCTGTGCGAATGAGTCAATAGAGCTGTTCAGGAGATTGGTGTACCATTGAAGAGCTGGACCAGATAAGCTTGAACCAAAACTCTTACACATGCAGGCTTCCCTTAACGTTTGAGATATCGAGACAATGAACATTCGCTGCTTGTACGATGCTATGTGATCATCTGGGTCGATTGTGTCGTCATAAGGCTTCATGCTATGGATAGTGAATTTGTGGGGCATGTCGGCTAGTGCGATCACATCCACGAAGGGCGAATCAACGTAGCAGTGAGGCTTGCTCTTTTTGGTGGGGATCGGCATTCCTAGTATGTGCCTCATCACTGCCTCTACGTCGGCCAGTCTCTTGGCTAATATCTGTTCCATGGGAGAGGGGGATACCACTAGGTCATCCCGCTTGACTTGGTTGGCCATAGGGTTCGCACTCGGCGTATTTTGTTGGGTCAATCCGTGTGGTGTAGCCTGGTGGATCATTCCTTCGTGTATCGCTTGGTAGTTCGGATCCCCGTTCATTCCCTCCGGTTGGGTGACTCCCATTGTAACTAATCGGGTGTTTCGCCCTATATGAATGGTTATGGGGGTTGTTTGGTACTCACTCGGTCTGTTTGGATGGATGGACTTGAGCGGGATGGTTTGGTTTGGGTGACCATTTGACCCGCGAGGGCGAACCGAGCCGAATGGAGTTTGTGTAGGGATGGTTGACTGAAGGTGAGGTGGGATGGCAAGGATGGGCGGTTCTTGTTGTAGCGGGCTTTCTGTCACTTGGACGCCTTGATCTTGATCTTGAGGCGGATCGACCGAGAGGGGTTCCGTTGGCAAATCCCTTTCTCCATGAATCAGGACCAAATCGTCGACCAATGACGAACATAGTTGATGTGACCTTTCATATGAAGTCACTGATCTGTGCTCTAGAGTTGGAAGAGATTGCATAGATGGAACCAAGGCACAGAACCGATTGGGTGGTACCTAACAAGGCAAAACCTCAAGATCATAAAACTGGCATACCTTCTCTTTTAGAGACTGGTTTTCGGCCTTGATGGAGGCGTTTTCGATCCGGATGACAGTGTTCTCAGCTTCCAAAGCTGCCACCTTGTTTGAGTTCTGCTGCATGAGGGTAATTAGAGCCTCCAGTTTCGCCTCGAGGCCGGGGTTAGCGTTGCCAGAATTGTCAGCCATAAAAAGTTTCTATACGTAGCAGGGTTCGTTGAGCTAAATGATTGCTAGAGGCCCCACGGTGGGCGCCAAACTGTAGACGTAAAAATCTACCTGTACGAAATGAGGGACTGATCCCTTGAGGTTGAGGCCACTAGTGATCTGTTGCACCTGCACACGTAGAGAAACAAACATGAATCGACGAAAAACACCCGGGTGGTGTTTGTCGTAGGCACTCTGACGCTCAAGTCAGCAAGGTTGAAATAGGCTAATTTAGTGAGGGCTAGAGAGAAGAGAGGTTATCAGAAGTCTAGTCGGGGACTGTGACTACGGCTATAATACGAAGTTCCCAAGCGGGAACTTTGGGGTCTGAAGGTGTGATGTAATCTGCCTTGTGAGAGGGCTGGCCTCTGTTTAAATAGTGACTATGTGGTTTCCCAATCCAGGTGGGATTAGGAGTCCTCATAGCAATCGTTCCTCCCAGGGATGTATCCTTTGGCCCCCTTATCCTGGCATGAAAGGGGGTCAGAGCATGACTCGGATATAGACCTTGGAGGAGTTGGGATAGTAGTGGACTACCTTATCAGAGTCCAAGTAGGAGAGTGATCCGTAGGTGACCGTGGGCTCCAAATTTGACCATAAGCCTAGAAGGTGTGTTGGGATCAAGAGGCTCGGGTCCAGATGGTATGGACCGACTGTACTTCATACCGAATGGGCCTCATCTGGGGAATTCTGGCTTGGGCCGCATCGGGACTGGGCCTAAGCTTTCCTCTTTGTCAGAAGTGTTCCCCTATTTGGGCAAAAGACATTTTTTGGCCCTAACAACATCTATATTATTTATAATGTTGATAGTTTTGTCTTGGTGTTATAAGCAACTAATTTTATTTATTTTTCTTTTTTTTTCGTCATCACAAAGAGATTCATTTTTTGCAATAGTAAATGCATGAAGAGGTCACCAATTTTGGGAAGTCAAGACAGAAAGGTTATGTATTATAGAAAAGGTGAATGTAAGGTTTATTATATTCTTGAAATTTTTAATAATTTTATTATTTGTTTTTATTATCATTCTAATTACTTGCTCTAAAGCACCAAATTCACACCTTGAGTAACCTATGACATTGTTTTTTTTTTTTTTTTTTTTTTTTTTTTTTTTTTTTTTTNTCAAGACAGAAAGGTTATGTATTATAGAAAAGGTGAATGTAAGGTTTATTACTTTTATTATTTTATTAATAATTTTATTATTTGTTTTTATTATCATTTTAATTACTTGCTCTAATACACCAAATTCACACCTTGAGTAACCTATGACATTGTTTTTTTTTTTTTTTTTTTTTTTTTGTAGGGTAACTTTTGAAGAGAGGTCAGAAGTCTAATATATTCATGACATCTATATTATTTATAATGATGATATTTTTATTTTGGTGTTATAAGCATCTTTTTTTTTCTTTTTTTTTTTTTGGCCATCACAAAGGAATTCTTTTTTTGTAATAGTAAATGAATGAAGAGGTCACCAATTTTTGCAAGACAAGATAAAAAAGTTAAATATAATATAAAAGGTGAAGGTAAGATTTAGCAAATTCTTGAAATCTTTTATTATTTAAACTGTTATTTTTTATTTGTTTTTGTTATCATCTTGATTACTTGCTCTAAGGGACCAAATTCATAGCTTAAGTAATCTATGACAATGTTTTTTTTTTTCTTTTTTGTGGGGTAATGTTTGAAGAGAGGTCAGAGGTCTAATATATTCATTACATTATGTTGTTTATAATGTTTATATTTTATCTTGGTGTTATAAACAATTAATATATTTTTTTTCATCATAAAGGGATTCTTTTTTTGCAATAGTAAATGCATGAAAAGGTCACCAATTTTGGGAAGTCAAGACAAAAAGGTTAAGTACTATATAAACGGTGAAAGTAAAGTTTAGTATATTCTTGAAATTTTACTTTTTAAACTGTTATTTTATCTTTTGTTTTTATTATCATCTTGATTACTTGCTCTAAGGCAATAAATTCACACCTTGAGTAATCTATAACATTGGTTTTTTTTTTCTTGTAGGGTAATGTTTGAAGAGAGGTCAGAGATGCAATATATTCATGACATATTTGTTTTTTATAATGTTTATATTTTTATCTTGGTGTTATAAACATCTATTTTATTTTTGTAGGGTAACATTCGAAGAGAGGCCAAAGGTATAATATGTTCAAGACATCTTTTTTTTTTTTTATAATGTTTATATTTTAATCTTGGGGTTATAAGCATCTATTTTTTTCTTCTCATCATAAAGTGATTCATTTTTTGCAATAGTAAATGTATGAAGAGGTCCCCAATTTTGGGAAATCAAGACAAAAAGGTTAAGTATTATATAAAAGGTGAAGAAAAGGTTTAGTATATTTATTAAATCTTTTATTATTTAAATTGTTATTTTATTATTTGTTTTGTTTATCACCTTCATTACTTGCTCTAAGGCACCAAACTTTTTTTTGGATAAGTAAACTTTCATTAAAGAGGAGAAAAAGAATGTACAAAAGACCTATATAAGACTTCAAATTCATGTCTTGAGTAATCGATGACATTGTCCTTTTTTTTTTTTTTTTTTTTTTTTTTTTTTTTTGGGTAGGGTAACATTGAAGGGACGTCAAAGGTCTATTATATTCATTACATTTATATTATTTATAATGTTGATATTTTTATCTTGGTGTTATAAGCATCTAATTTTTTTTTTTTCATCGCAAAGAGATTCATTTTTTGCAATCGTAAATGCATGAAAATGTCACCAATTTTGGGAAGTTAAGACAAAAACTTTAAGTACTATATAAAAGGTGTAGGTAAGGTTTAGAATATTCTTGAAATGTTTTGTTATTTAAACTGTTATTCATTTATTTTATTTTTTTGTTATCATCTTGATTACTTGCTGTAGGGCACCAAATTCACGCCTCGAGTAATCTATGACATTATTTTTTTTTCTTTTTTGTAGGATAAAGTTTGAAGAGAAGTCAGAGGTCTAATATATTTATTTCATCTGACACGACCCATCTCGACCCTCCCTATCTCATAGGCTCCGGGCACACCCCATGAGACTTGGATGACCGAGACGACCATATGAGAAAACTATGAAACATGTTTATAAATTAAAACATCAAAAACTTCTTCTAGCTAAAACATTTATAAACACTTTTTTTGTTTCTCACAAGTAAATATAACATCATTTGCAAATAAACAAATGCAACTGAAATTTTTTACAAAATTAAAATGTATGATATTAGATTTTTCCATATCTTTAACAATCTAGAACATGAAATAAATACATAAGGAAGAAACATAGACTTTGCAGCGGAATATAAAACACAACTATGGAATATATGATGAAATAACGTCGTGTGGCCCAACCTTGAGAGGGATTCACTCGTGCATGATCTCCTTCTTGACCTAGTTGGGGGGGGGGGGGGCAGGAAAGAAAACATTTGAAAACGAGGGGTGAACTAAAAATGCTCAGTGAGTGAGGAATGGGTTAGTATACAATAAAACATTCATGCTTATAAAATTTCATTTCCATAAACACATCTTATAATATAAGCCATCTTTCATAACAAATGCTGAAGTCTCTCATTGCA